AGGAGTTTGAGGAGAGGCAACAAGCGGAGGCCAAAGAGAAGCTCCGAGAATCACGTGAGGCCAAGCGCAAGGCGGAGTCGTCCGTTGAGGTCGATAGGAGCGAAGAAGAGGCGTCGCACTTGGACGTCGAAGAAGCCGAGGTCTTGGTTGTGGCCCGTGAGAAGGAGTTATACATGATGTTCGAAGGGGCCGAAGTGGACGAAGCCAAAGAGGAGGTCGATGGCGAGAGTAAGATCTTGGTCGAAGTTGTCAAGGACCGTGAGTGCGATACACGCCAGGGTCGTGAGATTGGAGATGATGTGCCCGAGGTTTGGCTGGTCGAGGATGAGTCCTTGAGGACAAGGACATTCTCAAAGGGGGCGGGAATGATGCGTAAGTGGGTTTTGACCCCCGACGACAAGAAGGGCCGAGAGCCAAGACAACCCGAGAAGGCTGAAAATAGGGCCAAAACGACGCACGCATGGCCTAAGAGACGGGTACGAGCTCGTATGCGAGGCGCACAAGTAAATAAGAAAGGGCTCATTCAAGAAGGGCGCGCACACGCGCATTGGCGTAGACGCGCATGGCGCTTGTTGGTTTGGCGATGTGGCGCGCAGCGGGTGGATGTTGGGTGGTTGATGCGCGCGAGGGGTTATTGTGATTGGTCGGGCATGGCCAAGAGGCGAATAGGCGAGAGGTGCGCATCGGATGGTGATGCGCGGCGTTGGGCGTAAACGGGCGTACACGAGTACTGGACGTGTGCAGTGTGCGTGGAGGTGGCCGGGACGCGCTGGCGTTGGACAGCGGAGGCGCCGGGCGCGCTGGGTGCACGGGTGAAGGTCACGCGGGAGGATGCCGAGGCCGAGTAGGAATAAGCGTAGCAGGTACGGGCGCGCACGCGCGAGGAGAAGGGGACGAGCGCGCAACGCAGGCCGAGGGTCGTGATTGGGGCGCGGACGCTGGCGGAGACCTAAGCTTCGCAGGCTTAGGAGTGCTGGGCACAAACGCGCGGGAAGGAGGCGGCGGGCTGGGCGCGCGCGCGAAGGGCCACGCGTGTAGCGCGCGTGGGTGACCGAAGCCGCCGAGGACTAGGCGTGCGATAGAGGCGGCGTGCGTTAGGCGGCCGAAATTAATTGGGCGTGTGGATTGATTTGTTTGGAGTGCAAGCCAAGCAAGATCAAGATCTAGTCAATTTAGGACTTTGATATATTTAGTTTCCTTCTTGCACAATAGTATCTAGAATATTAGGTTAGTTAATATTTTATTGCTTTAATATATTTCCTAGGTAGATTAGAATTAGTCATAGTTAGGATCTATAAATAGGGATGTTCCCTCATTGTTTTTAGATGTCCAAGAATGATGAAATAGAAAAGAACGTTTGTTCGAAACCGTGTGTTGAGAGTCGTGAGATTCGATCATACAAATTGAATTGGTGAGGCTAAGACCCGAGCCAGTTCAACGATTTAGAGAGGCTAAGACCCGATCTATTTCGAGAGTGTAGCGAGGCTAATACCCGAGTGAACTCAGTATCGTGAGAGAGTTAGGCTAATAACCGAGTCGATCACACCTATCGTCGAGAGCAAGGCCGTGGCGAAGCCGTGATCGAGACAAGTCGAGGACGCGAACACCCAATCCTTCATCATTGGTGCTTTCATTGAGAGTGATTGATTAGGTGTTCGTGAACCTTTTTCTATCCCATTCTTTTTTTTTTGTTCGATTTTTCTTGAGTCTTTGTGTTCGAATTTTTTCAAATTTTATCCTTTAATTTTCGAAAAGTTCGTGAGTATCAAAAAAAAAAAGTGTCATCTAGTCTTTTGTTATTTTTTCCTCCCCTTGATTCGAATTTTTCTTCTTCTTTTCGAAATTTTGAATAGTGTCAAAAAAAAAATGAGAGACATGAGATTCGAACCATTGGATGAGTTGGATCTGGAAGGTCTCGCTTATCTCGAAGGTTTGGAAAGGAGTTTGACTCCATGGGAGCAAGAGTTTTTGGAGGAGCTTCACGAGCGAAAGGAGTTTGAGGAGAGGCAACAAGCGGAGGCCAAAGAGAAGCTTCGAGAATCACGTGAGGCCAAGCGCAAGGCGAAGTCATCCGTTGAGGTCGATAGGAGCGAAGAAGAGGCGTCGCACTTGGACGTCGAAGAAGCCGAGGTCTTGGACGTGGCCCGTGAGAAGGAGTTATACATGATGTTCGAAGGGCCGAAGTGGACGAAGCCAAAGAGGAGGTCGATGGCGAGAGTAAGATCTTGGTCGAAGTTGTCAAGGACCG